TAATGACCAACTTGCCTCGTAATCGTGCCTCTCGTCGTATCTCGCTCTCGTGTTCTGTGCATACGTCACAGGTGAATTTAGTGATACGCCCTTCGGACGATTCATTCGAAAAATCAGACTGGCATTCCCATTTCTTAAATGTCGTAATTAGTACACCTTTGTGAGTTTTTTTCGCCGCCATCTAAAACTTTCATCCGCGCGATTCCTCAGTTTGCGGACTAAAATAGCAACCCACATGCGCACATAACGTTATCTGTTCCGTCCCCCCCAACACTGAAAAAACAAAACGAAAGTAAATGAGAAGAAACACACTCACACACCACACCACAAACACACGTACAGACACAGTGAAATCGCGTTGATCACACAGGAGAGACTTGATCGCGTACAATCAACTCGTGTGCGGTGACTCTATGGTTAAACGATTTTTCGGTACCATCAAAATGATGCCGCGGAAACGACACGCTACCAGTAACGATCGTTACCGCGAAATCATCAGGCCTGTCGTTGTTTTTTTGTTGTTGTTGTTTTGACTGAGAAATTTCCTTGCGTCCCAAAAACGCACATTATTTGGAACTGTGCATCCCGCGGGAAAATTATGCGTCGAGGACGCGGGACGCACAGGTAACGAGATGGCTGGGGCCTCTCTCATTTTGGAGCCATACGCAAGATGGAAACAGCGCTGAACAGTGTATGTTTTGAATAAAATACAAAGTTTCCTTCGTGTTCCAGAAACCAAATCAACGCACTGATTTGCGAGCACCTGGAGGGGGCACAATCGAGTGCAAAACAAATATCAAAGGCCACACGCAAAGACACTGATCTCTCACGACCAGGGGTGTAGTGGGCGTGGTACGCGGGGGTACGCCGTCCACCCATTTCTCCCGACGCCACATTCATTTCAGTTTTAGCCCTAATGCGAGTTATGCTTTATAACGTTGGCCTGTGATTATTTTGGAGAAGTAAAACATTAAATTTAATGTTAGTTCAACTGGTGTTGTAGCCTATGATTGATGTTCTGTATGTATATATAGAACATCCCAGAATCGCGTACACCCACTTAAAAAATCCCCACTACACCACTGCTCACGACTGCACAGATACATCCAGACAGGGTGGACAACAGAAATTCCTGAAAATCTCAAGAGTATATCACGAAAAGAAAGGGGAACTTTCTGAACAACAGGGATGTGTTCTGTGGGGAACAAGAGTAGTGGTGCTGGAGAAAATGAAGAGAGCATTGTTAAAAGAGACTCACGAC